ACAGTGAAAATGGGTGAGGGGAAGAAGGTCGGCTGGGTGGTTTCCTGGCTCTGCGGACCAACGCACGCCATTCATCTGATTAACTACCGCTTTGTGATCAGAAGCTTTGTTTGGGAGACTTACCCCCTTCCCCCTTCACAACACACACATCCTTACAAAGGCACACGAACACATGCCAGGAACCTCTGATTAGAGGAGAGACTTTGCCTAGAGACGACAGACGAACGACAAACAAAGTGTCAAGGGAATGAATAGTTAAAAGACTGTCGAGCAGTTGTTGTGTAGCTTAAAAATAATCATTAACGCATCGGCCTGCAATTGATTGGCATGCAAGAGTGGGCTTTCGCAAATTTACAACATATTTTGGAAATAAAAATTACACTAGAGGTTGTAAATGTGCGAGAATATTGTTCACATTCACAGTGCTCTCTGTCTCTCCCTCAAACAACTTTGCTAAAAAGAAGTGACTGACTGTGGGTGTGTGGTATGAACAGAGGCTCTACCCAACCCAGCTAGCAAGGCAACCTATACAGTGGGGAAACTGCTTACCCCGCTCAATTCGTCAATGTCGTCCCTTCGCGCTTACAGGGGAGAGGAGAGGGAGGGGGGGGGGGGGGGGGCTGCAAAGCGCTCGGCGGGAGCGCCACACACCCATGTGGGAGGAGGACCCGCCGGCGAGAATGCTCATCCCAGGGGACGAGTTATAGGGAGTAGCGCCGCCAAAAATGTTGAATAATTCTTTGAACGAGAACGGTTCCCAAGTAATGAGACTGTCGAACAATTAGTTAGCGAAAGCATGCACGTGATGTGAAAACACACATTAATCTTAAATATTTTGTAATTGAATTACATGAGAGGTTTTATGTTTCGGTGACGATCCTTTGGTTTATTGGACATGACCTACGGAAGTAACAGAACACAGAGACACTTGACAATTACAAGCGGAAACACTTATTTACAGAAGAGCAGGACTATATCAGCCGTTATCAAAGAAAGTTTCGGAATAATTAACAAAACAGGTTTAGACAACATTAATTTCAAACTATTTGGAACTAAGTTTATTTCAAAATTCTGACACTCATTTACAAAGATTGAATTTTGGAAATTAGATTCATTCTAAAAAACAACAACAAAAAAACAAAACAAAAAAAACATTTGATATGAACTTTGGACTGATTGCTCAAATTATATTCCCAACTTGTTTGAAGGTTTGAATTCATAGGTATATACAGCTCACCCTCTCAAAACGCTATGGTCATGTTTCGTTCCAAACCGTAGACTGCTTAGTCGATTTGAAATCACGTTACGTACGAGGGCCCTTTCTAGTATTGCGCAGATACTTGCTCACCCCCCACCCCCTCCCTCCCACATTCCAGTATCCTCACCCAACCCCGGACACGACATTTCATGAACTAGTACATACATATCTATACATGCAACCTCGTACGCAACCGGCAGCAGGAAGGCACTCGCAAAATAGGAAAAGTTTTCCGAGCAGGAAAGAGAGCAAAAGAAGGAGAGAACAGAACAAAAAAAAAGAGTGCGAAAGAGAGACGAGTAGGACAGCAGCGACTGAGGAGGGACATTGCAGCACACAATGACGTGCTGCTGGATCCATTTCTGTGATGTTTGCCCTTTGGGGAGAAAAGGGCGGCGCCACAAGTCAGAAAAGAGGGGGGAGGAGGAGGGTGAGTCGGGCAGGGCGTCGTGTCGACTTGAGCGCGGCCAACTTGAGCCCAAAACATTATGTGGTGTTTGGGCAGGCCGGGCCGGGCGGCGCGACATGACAGCCGACGATACTTCCGGTCTAGCAGGAGAACGAAAGAAGAGCGCGCGCGCTTTTTGTTTGGAATGGCAGAAGTTACAGAAAGAGAAGGGAGAAAGCAAACTTCGGGACGTTGCGTCTGAGGGGGGGGGGGGGAGGGGGGGTAGATGTTGACAACGAACATGACACTATAGTCTGAAGTGCATACAGACTGGAAAACACCGACCCCTATTTTATTAGTGCGACGCGTTTGAGACGGAGAGACATAATTAATAACTATTGAAACTTGGTCAGGAGTCTGGAGCTGTGCAGTGTCAGCACAATGAGAGGGCGGCTGGTGCAGCGCCAATCGCTAGGCATTACCATAGATATTAGGCTACGCACACAGCACGGCACAGCAGGGCACAGCGGCCCGAGCACTTGGTATGGAGCAGGGGGTCCGCAGGCGCGCCCAGCCTGAGCCATGTAGCTGCTAGAGCTGTGTGTGTGTGTGTGGGAGAGAGAGAGAGAGAGAGAGAGAGAGAGAGAGAGAGAGAGAGAGAGAGACTCACTCCCACTAAACCAGTCTGAACTGTGGGACAAAATAACAGTACACGATACGGGTCTGGTACACAATTTGCCTGGTTAGCCTGTACCTGATAATTCACGAGTTCGTAAGCCCGTACCCGAGGGGTGGAAAACTCCCCTGCTAAGTGTACACCCCTAATTCTGCCCAATTCAAACTAATTCAGACCAATTCAATTAAATTCAAACAAATTCAAAACTAATTCAACTAATTCAGTCCAATTCAAGACAATGTACAGTCAATTCAAGCCAATTCACGCTAATTTAGTAACATAAAATCGCAATAATTCAAACCAATTCAAAACCAATTCAACCAATTCAGTCCAAATCAAATTCAATTCAAGCCAATTCAAGCTAATTCAAATTCAATTCTTGAAATTTGTACACCTAATTCAGGAGTTATCCACCCCTCGCCCGTACCACACCTATTTGTAACATTGGGTCTTAAGGGCACTGCAATGAATCGTGAACGGATATCCCTTACCTTCCCCACCAGTTTTCTGTACCCACCCAACCCTGTACCTGAGAACAGGATTTTTGGCAGTGTGCCCCTAGCCTTGGCTTCTTGGCGGCCGCAGGCGACGACGTCAAAGCAAACGAACGACATCCTTCTGGAAATCGACAAGACCGGCAAGAAAGAGGAAAGAACTCTACCAAGCTACCCGAGCGGGATAAGGAACGCAGCGAAAGAGAGAAAAGTTGATAGATACAGGGAGGAAGAGAGAAGGAGATTCACGCACCCTCCACACAGGTAGGTAGCGGGAGCAGGCACCGATATTGGATACGATACTAGGTGATATAAAGAAAGGCGATAGAAAAGGATATGGGCTCTAAGCGGATGATGAGAGTATTCTTGTCGCCGTGTGTGTGTAAAAACGGGGGGGAGGGGGCACAAAAAGAAAGGGGCGGAATATAGCTGCGGAGTAGAGAAGCGCGAGCTGCGGTAGTGCGGTAGAAATATTTCGGACCAATCAGAAAAACGTCGACTAGAGACTTCACACACTCGCATTTCTCTTTTGCACGAATATAACAGTGTGGGTGCAGCGTCCTGGCCTGGCGGGGCGGTGGGAGGCGAGTGGACGGGGTCAGGGAGGGTGGCGGGGGAAGAAGAGGAGGGGAAAGGCTCGTTAGCAGCTGGGCGAGCATGGGGCGGCGGTGTCCATGCCCTGCAGGGGGGCGATGGGGCGGAGAGAGACCGAGAGAGAATCGGAGAGAGAGCGATAGGTGGAGAGACAGAGAGGGAGCAGGGTAATCTGATTTAGACCGAGTAAATTAACGGGAAACGCTTTTGATGTTGCCGCTTCTGTTGCGACAGCAGGGCACGTAGGAGTGGAAAAGAGACAGCAACGAGAGAGAGAGAGAGAGAGAGAGAGTAGGAGAGTAGGGAAGAGAGATGAGACATTTGCGCGCGCCAATCGAGCACTGCTTTGGTGGAACTCCAGTGAGCACAGGCGGCTGGCTGCCACGTTTGCCTACCGACGAGATTTGGTCTCGTTGCCGTGCTGAGCAAACTGAAAGGACTGACGAGATCCTTGCCCATATGACCTCGCTTTCACCTTTCACCTCCCCCCCCCCCCTCTCTCTGTTACTATATTTGCCTCTGCGCAGGAACAGCTGAAGTGACCTCACGAGGGATTACAGAAAATGAAATAAATGTGCGATGCGGATCCGCTTTGCAGCTTTTTTAAACTGGGATTCCTTCTCGTGTTTAGTTCGCCGGCCGCGGCACGAAATGGCTCCGATGGAACTACTGGAATTCGATATCGTTTAAATGTGAGTGAGATGCGTGGGGATGTGCACTTTTATGCTTTTCCAAACCCTTAAATAATGCGCTAAAAAAAAGCACCATTATGCTTAGCATATGAAGCAATTATGCGCAAATAATGCGCCCTAAACTGCCAACGGTTACCAACTGCAGACACTACCGTAAATAATTTGTTTTGGTTCCCATCGCAGGTTCACACATGCACTGGAAAAACAACCGTGAACGAAGCCGTTATTACATCGGTCACTTTTGCTGAACAGTCCCAATGTGCCCTTTCGGCCGCGGGATCCCCCACACCCCCTTCCCCCGTTCGGTAAGGCTCGTCCCACCACCACGTGATGTACAATCGGCCGCTGCTGCTGCACCTTGCTTCGACAATGCAAGCTGCAGGCGCGGCCAGCAGCGACGGCGCCAAACCAGCCATAAATAATAGCCCAGTCAGACCCAAAAGTTGGCGTTTACTCGCCTGCATTAACTTTTACCATATACTTTACGGGGCAAGTTTCAACGGGCGACCACTCTCTTTTCCCCCTCTCTCTCTCTCTCTCTGTCTCGAGCCCTGCTTCTGCTCCGGGAATACTTTAAGAGCAAGTTTGGTGGGAAATAAACAGAGAACATCACTATTTGCAGCATGAGCGGCATGTTAAAGAGAGAGAGAGAGAGAGAGAGAGAGAGAGAGAGAGAGAGAGAGAGAGAGAGAGAGAGAGATGAAATTAAAAAATGAAATTATAATCGAGATCGAAAAGTATTACAGACTGCCCGCGCCATTTTTACAACAAATGCAGATTAAAAGATTCGATTCAAGTTAAAAGTGGAATAAAAATTAATTTCGACTTTAAAAATAGATGATTCGCACACCTCGTTACCGGAAAGAACACTGAAATTGAGAGTTTCGCTTTTGCTTACCAGTGAGTAGCGCGGCTCGTTCTGATAGATGGTGCCGACCCGGGTCCAGTTGAACTGCTGCAGAAGCTTGAGGCGTGGCAGGTTGAAGGCGTTCTCGCTCGGCACGACGCGGAAGAAGTTGGGAAAGTTCTCCGCCGTGAACATGGGATGGGTGTCCGCGTACGACAGCTGCAACAGAAAGTCAGACCACTTAGCTCGCCCCACGTGAAATACCATCATCAGTTTGTTTGTGGTTATCATTATTATCGAGGTTATTTTTATTCTGATTGGATTTATTTTATGGGAACCACGACCATTGCAGACAAGCCCCGCACCGCAAATGAACTAGACGGGAAGTAGTCTCTATTTCACGCGTGTATGAGCAGTGAGTGTGTGTATGTGTGGGTGTGTGTGGCGCGCGCGCCTAGCGTAGGTGAAACTGAGAGAAGGATGGGTAAGAGTGAGAGAAACTGGAATGTGATTTCCACATTTGTGGTTATCCGAATGGGTCTTTAATAAGCGGCTGGCCAGGCTGCCACCACCGCACCCCGCCTCAGCACCGCGCCAGGCTCTTACCGGCTTTCACAAACGTGACTGACACCTGTTGATGACCAATGCGTCCCGCCGCCTGACTCAAGAAGGCACATCTCAACCAAAACCATGTTAATCAAACATTTGAAAGCAGATTGTGATTATTTTCACATTGGTTACAATACTGTGAGAGTAGAGAGAAACAACGTCGTGAGACGCAATTCACATTGAATGAAACATGACGTGAAGTGACAATGTTTGAACAACAGTGCAAGGGGAGAGGGGGCTATTAATGTCGTTCCAGCCGATCGACCGTAGCGGAGAGAATGCCCTGATAAAACAAAAGTGTAGGAATCACATCGACCTGTGTTTAAAAAATGGTAGAGTAGTAGCAGGTTGAAAGATTGCTTGCTACAGACCAACGCAAAGACGCCTTCGCCGAACACGAAAGCAAGAATCATCACAGTTAAAAAAAATTGTAACTTTACAAGAGTATACCTGTAATCTGGTACAGAAATATTATGGTAATTTCACAGAGTATGGTAAATTTACTACATGTTTTCTGTAAATTTACAAGTTTGGTAATTTTACAGAAAAGTATTAGTAAAATTATCGAAACCCTGTAATTTTCCCCATAATGTGTGGTAATTTTACAAATGGCTGTAATAGTACGACATTTCTTCTGAAATATTACAGAAAACATGGAGAATCACTAGAGCCTGTACAATTCACTTCCAGTAAATTTCTGTAAAACCTCTGGATTGATCAGTATAACAGAAAGTAATGCTTTCTCAGACCCAGCATACGGTTGCGTGTTAGCACGTGCTGTTCGAAAGATTTTTTATACTAACATTTACAGATTAACACAGTAAATTCTAGACCTGTGCATTCGATTATTGGGCTCGGGTTTGAGTAAAAATCAAGGAGAGGACTCCGGTAGTGCCTAGGAACTGACCCGACACTCACACGAGCCCTATTGGTGGCGGCGTGAGATTAGTGACCCGTGAATTTCCTAACGCCAAAACAGCTGGGCGGAAATCCCGGCGTGGGGTTGGCCCTGGGCTCCGGGCCGAGGTCCTGCCCCCTCTCAACGTCGACAGGCTGGGGATGGGTAGCCAACAGAATGTTAAGAAGGCAGTAAGTTATTAGTCAGTTACAACTGCACTCATCTTAGTTTGTTCTTCAAACAATTAAAATGGGTAGTACCAACGGGAATTTGAAATTAATGCTCTGAGGGCCACGGCGTGGCGCGTGATATGCCGTGTATACCTGCCGGGTCACATAATCCCCAAGCCAGTCTCGCTGGCGGCCGGTCGGGTCGGCTACGGTCACCCGGCACCCGGCTGTCGAGTCACACGGGGACAGTCGAGCATCCCTCCCATCAAGTCCCAGTGGTCCCAGTGCCAAATTGTTGAATAAATGTGTTTGAAAAAAAAAAAAAAGTGGTTAGCGTGCTGGGTTCGCAACGCAGTCGTCCGAGGTTCAACTCCCGCCGGGTCAAGGTAATTGGTTATTCACTTTAATGCTTACTTCGTTGCTTGTATAACACGGTGAGGTAGGTAGGTAACGATAGGAGGCAAAGGGCAAAGACCTCCGGAAACTCAGAGGC